TGCAACCTTTTTGAGGCCAAGACAGCATGGAGTGACTCATCAGTTTGGATATTGCTGCCACTGAATAGGATGGACCCAAGCTGAATAAAAAGCTCTGGTTAAACTGTTCAATCAAACTGAAATTTTTATTAATGTTGACTATTTCACTGTTTTTACAGTTGCCAGGCCAAAGAGAAGGATTTTCCGCTTTCAATTTGATGAAAAATGGAAAGTGGTACCTTCTCTTATTATTTGAAATTTTTGAAATTGCCAGAAGGACAGTTTGATTTGGTGATTTGATTTACTGAAGTGCAGTTTCATAATCATAATCATCACCTTAAAATAATCCATCCCTCAACTACAGAGTCTTAGCCAGAGAAACGTGAAAGTGGAAGAAACATTTTAGTATGTAAAATGATTTCCCCAAAACTGCACACACTGGAGGTTTTGCATATTCTGCATCTATATCTTTGTTGGTTTGTATTATCAAGAGGTGCCTCATGACTGATGTGGGCTTCATTTGAGTGAATGTGAGCTGACTTCAAGTGTCAAGACAGAAATTGTTTGTGACCCATCCGGAACTTTGCCTTTTAAATTCAATGCTGCACTGTTCTTTCTGGCTTAAGCTGTATATGTACGTCATCATCCATCAAATGAAAGTTGAAGGTAGACATTACACAATGCTTTAATGGTATGATCCTGTCTGAACTGATCATAAAGAGCCCATGAAATTAACAATCAAAGGGCGTTTCTAAAAACAAAAACCATAACCCAGATCATTGTGTAAGTGTTATCTGACTGTGGCATGAGTTTGCCAAGAGCACATTTTGGCATTTCAGAGGTGAAAACCTTAGTGATTGAAAATCTTGAGATTGTGTATTTTCTGGAGTTTCCTTTTCGAAGTGATTTTTAGTCTTCAATAGGACACCTTACTGTGTTTGGCACCATGCCTTGAGCCATTGCTCGTTGTTTCAGTTTGCTTAAGTTTGTTCTTGTTTTTCGTGTTCCTTAATTCTTCATTCTAGCTCACAGTGCTGTTGACCCCTCCAGTTGAGGTTGCTCAGTGTCTAGACTTAACTAGACACCTGCTTTCCACTTGCTGGACGGATTATTGGGGATAAACACTTGTTCTCGACAGGTGTTCACTTAAATGGGGACAAATAAGCCATTCTTGTCATTTCCCTGTAGTCATAGTCAGCAGGGTTGCAAAGTGAAGTGTTTAAGCCCCAATAGAGTGGGTTTGTGGTAGGTGGACAACGAAATGATCACACAGTCAGAAGTTTTGCCCTCTGAATTCTTAGAAAAGAAATGTCAAAAATATATCAAAATGGAAATTCAAATAAGTTTATGACTTATTCTTTGGAGTTTAACGTGATTTATACATGAATCAATAAGTTGGATGCTCCTGCCAACTCAAATCAACAATAAAGTGGTTGACCTCGACCCTTAAACCATGTTACAGATAATCTTTTCCATAATATTTCCTGTGATAAATACTTGTGAATATCTCTTTTTGATAAAGCTGTGCCTTTAATATCAATCCGCTCAAATATACCCTTTTTCAGTGCTCCAGATGTGTTGCAAAACTGGGCCCCAATTATTTCCTAAAGTGTGTATCCTGAAATAGAAGGCCAGACTTAATGATTATGGGGTAAGTTCATCCCAGTTCATCTTACCCTGAAACAAGAGCCTGACTGTGCCTAGTTTGGTTACCAAACCCCAGGTGGCCCTGCCCAGGTAGTTAGGAGTGGTTGAAAGCACCTGCAGGTCTTGGGGCACCTAAGGCATTATACTAATTAGTGTCAAATCAGGTTGCAGAGACTTACAGAGCCAAAAAAGGACCCCTACATTTCTTGATACATGTAACCCTTTATCATTTGTTGGGAATTCTGTTAATTCTGTGCAGACTTGGAGTTGTTTTTCGAGTTGAGGGGAACGACTGAAGTTCAAAGAGTGCACTGTTTTGGCTACTCGTATTCTGGTCTTGGTGGTAAAATCCAAAATTTCAAATAATGCTAAGGATATGGTATCAGGTGTAATTTGTAAATACATCGCATGTAATGTATTACAATGTAAAATAATATAAGTCAAAGTGCATCATTGGAAAAAAAATGTACATGAAGTGGAATGATAAATTTAATGAAAAGCTATTGTACCACCTGTTTTTTTTAGGTTTATGTTGGTTTAGCATCTATGTCAAAAGCTAGTAGCTTTTGTCAGGCCCAACCCAGTCTCTTTATAGAGGTTATATTGTAGACCATGTTTGGAACTGAGCGACCTTGAACAATGAACATGTTCTTTGTTGATGTTTAATTTGGGTTGCTGAGGTTCACATTGGGCCGGTTTTCCACAAAATGAAATTAAAATAGGGATGTATATTCATCTGTTGATGTAATGATTAGCCCTTTCTGGATTTATTACTAGTTTCATCTGCTATCTCCGTTTGAGGTAAGAGTCCAGTTGAACGGAAAACGAAAACAGAAATTGCACTGCTATTTATAACTTGTAGTCTTGTTGACGGTTAAGTTACATGTACACCTGAATGAATAGTGTTGCATTGCTCACATGCCATAATCTGCTCTTGTCGTTCTGCCCCATTGATTTTACGTGAAAAATATTCTGGAAAAGCTACAGCGAACTAAATCCACGTTGTTAGATACTGGTAAATAAATTGTATGGTGGCCCTAATCTTTGTGTTACTATAGAGGAACCACCATTGATGCATAAAGCTTGGCCTTGGAATCCTGATGCTGCTGACATGTGTCTGTCTCTCCCTCTCTTTGTATAACTTTAATGAGAGTTACCTGGACAGGATAGTGCATCAAGAATATTTTCTGTTTCCTGAAGAAAGTTGGAACTAAACAACTTTCTTTTTCATTTGGATTGGACACTTTTTTGTGACAGTGTTTCATGCCATCTCAGGAAGTCATTACATTTGAATTCACTTTAAACAAATTGATTTGAAAATCGATTGTTCTCCTTCAACTTTTCATGCACAAGTAGTAAATGCCACTGTGACATAACCACATTGACGTTTGCTTTTATCGCTGAATATGTATGGCATTTGCCAGATGCGGCCTAGACAAGTTGTCATTAAACAAACCATTGATTCTACTTCAACACTACATGACATCTTCACACTAATGATGAAATCCTAAGAGCACTTTCTCGTCAGCTGGTCAAACTGCTGCCATTCTCAACCATGTTATTCTCTGCCAGTGGTCATATATTCATGATCCTGGCATCCCTTCAACCAGTTGATAGTTGAATTCTGTTTAAAATATTGTGTGTCATACATTTTGACCCGCGAATGTTTTTGGAAAGTACTTCAGATATGAATGTAATAATTTAAATATTTTTAAGAGGGAAAAAACTTGAAACTAAATGTGGTCATTGTAATAAATACATATGATATGAAACACCAAGTATTAATCATTTGAATGCTGCCAAAAATTTGGTTCAAGATTTGGTAATATTTGAGAAAATGTTTTCTAGGAATTAAAATTAGTTAAATTTGGATTAAAAAAAAACTGAATGGTACATATGTACATGTACATACATGTATGCATGGAATACTTGTCCAAGAGTCTTATTTTTTCGGATGCAGTAGTGTTTTCTCTGAATCTTGCCACATACGTTTGCCTGTTTTGTGCCCCACAACATTAACATAACACACGAATGTTCTGGAATTGCCGGAATCATGCACAAGAGAGCATTTGCTGTCATTAAGACATTGCTGTCCAGAAATGTCATCCCCCAAGGGTCTGTAATAAAATGTCTGTTCCTGTGGCTAAACATAACCAAATGGGATTGTTATTTGTATTTGCTAAACGGATTTGTTATCCCAAAGTGGGCTTTGCCCAAAAGATCAGCCTATCTTTATGAGGTTGGTTTTCCTCAACTGTTGATAATCAAATACAGGAGGCATTCTCTGATGACTGACTGTGAACATTGCACAGTCCTGAATCATTCAGGACTTCTCACTGTTCACATAATGCCATAGGTGCACATTTTTGGTGCAGGAGTCAACCGTGGACCAAGGATTCTATTTCTCAAATCCACCAATTGAGATGAGAGAATTTGGCTATTTTTGGTTTCAACATTTAAGATTTTTTTTGTTGACTATATTAAGTTTGCTGTTAGTGTACAGTTGTGATTATGTAAATTTTTCAATTTCTTGAATGTACAGGATTTCTCCAAGCACCAAATCCAAGTTGAGAAGACTTTGCACATTCCTGCTGGAGTATCAAACATAATTTTTTTAATTACTTTTATGATTTGGCAGCTGTGTACATGGTATAGGGCAGTGCAGACATCTAAATATTTTACATGCATTTCCACTGTACTACAGTGTGAGTCTCATATCTGATTTGTTGTAAATCTACATGTAGCAGGACCTAACTTTAGATATTGACCTGCCTGACTTATTAAACTTTTATTTCACAAATCTTACTAATAGGTTAGCTATTAATATGTAAGCACAGACATGACTAAATTTTCTGGAACAATTTAAAACAGTGAGGTATGGTTATGAAGGTTAAAAATGGCATTCATAGTTTGAATGGGATTCCCTTTCCAACAGTGTCTGTTTGCAGTCTGTGGGTTCATGTTGACTTAGGTTGCATGGCAATTGTATGAAGATTTTGCCACACGTGAGGATAAAACACTGATCTATGTGAACCATACATTCTCCAGAGGGAAGTTTAAAACAGATGTGACCTTTGGCGTTGTTACCGATTGAACCGTTAATTTTCGTCATGTGAGTTGTATTTGTGCATGTCATATGTAGCATGTATAAGAGTCTATATTTAAAAGACATTGATTTACATGCATTAATTTAGTACAAGTATTTTTTTAAGAAATAAAACCATTTTATTGATTCTGATCGCACCAAAAAGGTAAACACTATTCACTGGCGTTTGCCATTAGTTTTTGTTTTTGATATCGGAACTATATTTACTGTGTTCTTTTTCGCATTCAACCTCAAGTTTTTATTTTTGAACTTTTCTTTCCGTCCTCAGAGACTGGAGGAAGAGCTGTCTGCCCACCAGGCGCTGCTGAAATCGGTCGCTCGCCGAGGCACACGACGACGTGCCCACCCAGCTACCTCCCCCACGGAGGAGGAGAGCAGCCAAGTGAATGGCAGGGACGAAGACACCGAGGACCATGAGCTGTCCGAGATGCGAGCCAAGTGGCAAGAGATCTCCAGCCAGGAGGCAGAGAGGAAACGGCAGCTACTGGCCTCCCTGGAGTATGCCAGACCCAAGGTAAGTGGGCAAGTAGACTTGCTGATATCTGTGACTTTTTCCTTGGAAAGGCTGTTAAGATCCAGGTTTGAACTTGGAGTTGACTTTAGATCCAGCTGATTATGAGCCCCAAGCTGGACCAAGAGAGGGCACATTTTTCCTAGCAATGGAAGCTCCTTCGGTGGGAACTGCACTTCCCTGGTTCACAAACAACTTTGAAATGCATGTGCGGTGCTTGCCCTTTATTTTTTCTGACAGTAGCCCGTCAGGCTAGTAAATTGTGATTTTTATTAGCCTGCAGACATTTTTACTGCTATCACGTAGGTAGACTGGTTCCCATTCCCTACTCACTCACCCGGCATGATTGTCCAATGAGGGGCTTGCGATCAGTAGTACAATGAAGTCACTTACGAACCGGATTGCACCAATCTATGGGCGCAGTATCAGTTTTTGGTATCTGGTTCCCAGTACGAATTGTATGTTAATTATATTGGTCATGTATAGAGGTCACTGACTACTGGAGAAACTATTGTTGATGCGTTGATGATAGGTACTAGGTACAATGTACACGTTGTCCCAGCACACACAGGATTCCAGGTGGAGTCAGAAGCAATGTTGGGGTTTATTTGATTCCAATAAAATAAAGTTACATTCATGACAGACGAAAGGTAAAGCTTTGAAATCAAGACTTTGTTTTATTTTCTTAAATCACATCAGAAAAACAAGGAACGTGTACATATTTTAACTTGCCCGCCAAACGACTGAGGGAAGTGTTTTGACTCGCCTGAAACCCTGCATGTGTCAAGTCATATCACTACGAACCAAACACTCCCCACCAACATGGTTCTTTTCAACCAATGAGGGGGTCCTTCTGATCAAGGAAGAATGCTGAACACAGAAAATTTGATGAGCAAAATGACATTTCCAAGTTAGATGTGGTATATTTTATATTGCATTTGATGCAATTGAGTATTTGCCGGGAACATTACTTGTCCTTGTAAGTAATCATTTCTTCTCGGCTCTGTATTACTGTATTTGTCAATAATCATTTATGTTCCTATGCAAGACCCTTAGCTACAGTTTCTTCCAATTTACCATTGTTTTATGAATAATATGAGGTTATTTATACCTCTGCAAAGTAATCTTATTACTGCTGTACTCAGTGCAGATGGAGAGACTGTTGCAAGAATCAACAAAAATAAATTGGTGCTTAATTAATTTGGTTTTGTTATCCATCCACACAGACTCACAGGGTCAGTCAGTCAATTTAATTAAAAGAATCATTCTTGTTCTGACAAAATGATGCATTGTGCTTTGCACATAATTTATGGCATTTGTTATCAAGCAGAATATAACTGATTGTTATAATGAACAAGTACAGTTACATTGCGGTTTTCAACGCATATAACATTCCTCAGTATAGCGCCCTTTCTGAGCATTCCCCAAGGTGACGGGAACACAGTCTGAATGTGGCTATCGGTTCAGGCAATACACTGGGCACAGAACGCAGATTGCGTGCAACTTAGGAGTGAAATCTTTCCTGGAAGGGCAGAATAGTTAGTGCATACAGCCTTTGCCCACTGTGTGGGTGCCCTAGAGGCCTCTGGTCTGTACGCTCAAGAAACAGATGAAATACTCATTGTATGATGTGGTAGGTAACACAGAGTGACTTAGCTCACTCGGAGAGGAACGTGCTCTTAAAAACACTTCAATTGGAGAGATCCCTTTGGGCATCGTGAAGCAGTAACAAATATTGTGACCTGAAATGGTTTTCATTTCAGCATTGAAGCTGCAATCAAAATATAATTCTTTGTTGCATTTATAACATTATATCTTATTTAATTTGGAGCAAATTTTAAGAGTTCGTTTTGGGAAAGGAGAATTTCAGTTGACACATCACATGAAAATTTCAGCTTGAAATATGTTACCAATCAATTCCAAACAATTTAAAATGACCTAAATAGGTAGCTACATGTATTACGGATGGGTGATAGAGGATTTTATTCTGGTGAAGGAGCAGTTTCAAATGTTTTTTATGAAGTTAGTCTAGAATTCAGGCAAAAAATTGCACAATATCCTAAACCGGCATCGACAATGATGATATACTTCATTACATCCAGAATTCTTTTTGAGAGTACCGTCAGGATTGTTCATTGAGTTGTATAATTTTTTTGAAAATGACCTCAACTTAATCTGCGTGTGCATTGTTCATTTTAAAAGCTAATGGCTTGACTACCTGTATGTCCAGACTCCATAGCATTCTTGTTCATGCTCAAGTTGGCATGCTCACACATGAGCGGATCTCTTTAACCTCCATGTATGTTCAATGAACATTATTCAGCCCAGAAATGGATAATGTGATGTTGCTGTCAAACAGTATGTTTCGTTTAGTTGTGGGGACTTCACATGTGTTGAATAGGACAAAATCATAATGGGCACATCTTTGTCCTCACAACTCGGTCCCGACATTTCTAACGAAAGAAATGTCTCCCTCAATGCGGGACCAGCGAGGGCAGGCGTACAGGCAAATTCGTCTCCAGCCAGGTTTGGTTGTAATAAGCAGAAGGCTGGTCTAAACGGTTGAATGGATTAGGGCCGAGCAATGAAAACAGGGAAGAAGGAGTGAGGAAGGCTAGCTAAGAAGTGTCTCAGTGAATGCATCATTGCAGCCATATTCGAAACAGCCATACCAAAAAAAGCCACACCATAAGACAAGACAGATCAGGGACTTTCAATTTTTTTTTACACATTCTTCCCTGCAGGAGACTAATGGCTTAAATTACCCAGCACCAGCAAGGCGAACTTTGACCTTTGACCTGCTGGACAGGTCAGAGGAAGCAGAGGAGGACATGCAGGCATCTGTAAAGGCTCTCAATCAGTGTTGGGAAAAAATGCAAACTCAGGTGAGTTGTTACCACTGAGTAGTAAGAAAATGTCTTGAGCGAATATACTGAGAGTCCGCTGATGTCAAGAGCATAGTAAGACTTTCAAAATAGAAATTTTTTTTCAATTTTAATCAAACTTGGGTTGAAAACTGAATCATCCTGTTTGTATGTAACTTTCCACGTACCCAGGGGTTGGGGTTTGATGACAAAATCAGCAATATTTAGGTTGTACACCTAAGTCAGATTAGATTGATGGGATTTGCCTTTGAAGAACTTTATTTAAAAAAAACTCTAAATGAATAGTAGAGTACCTGTGGAAATATGATGGATTTGAAAAACTACTAAAGAGAAGCTTCACTTATTTCCTGGATAACAGCAAAAGTTTTCTTGGCTGATTAGTTCAATAGTTCTTCAATGAACGATAGTGTTAAGCTTTGCTGTTAATTACCAAAAGTCATAAAGTGTTTCATCTGCAGAAAACCTGTTTCAGTTTAAAATTTAGCCTGATCTGTACTTTGTATTGTGAAATTAGCATTCAAAGCTGATTTTAAATTAGTCCTTTATCATTTTATAATTCCGGACATCATCATCCTATTCTTTATTTCCTAGACATTGTGCAGAAGTCATGGGCTGTTTGGAAAATGAGAACATCACAGGAATACTCTTTAATATCTGGGATGGAGTGTAAATTGGTGTCATCTTTAATAATCAATGTTCTGTTCTGCACATTATGTCTGCCCTTGATAATGTTGCTGTTCAGTTTGTCTAATGAAATTTACTTCATTGCCAACCGACTTCCAGAGCTCACTGACTTAATTACTGAGCTAACTCAAATGAGAAGCCAGCATGTGGAATTTATCAAATTAAAAACCATTGTGGAACATTCAATATTTGTCTG